ACGAGAAGGCATGAAAATAAGTTCCCATAATCAGTCTTGAAGTTGTTAAAGATTTCGAAAAGGACCTCATTTGGTAATGTGTTCATTTTAGAACGCGTAGCAATAAAAAGTTAAGGTAATTATCATTATTGTTGTGAAGAATCACCATTTATATATGTGATCGATTCTTGTACTACATATTAGCCAAAAAAAGGGATCCTTAAATCCGGGTTGAAAAAAGTTACCGTTTTGATACAGTTAGGGTTACTGGTTATTTATATATCAAAAATACAATTTATGCAGTATGTAGATCAATATGTCCTGACCGAATTAATTATCATGTTATGTGATCAACTCGTGTATATAGTACCCCCGGGGTATTATTCAATTAATCTTTGATTTCTTGTAAAAGACCGGGGTACTATATGCACCTCATATTCACAATATCATTATTGACCTTTTCTTCAAACATTATTACAAATTCAGAATAGCGCTGTACGGTACGTGTTGTGATTACTTTTTTGATGCAGTTATAGTTCATAGTTTATATAGAAATCAAGATAAAATTTATGCAATCTGTAGATCAATATCAGTCATTTTTCTTTATGATCAAATGATCGACACACCTAAAATTTCATAAGTAAATTTGCATTGTAAGTTCCTTATTATAAAATTTGAGTAGTTGAAAATAAAACCAAAGATAATCTTAACCTTAAAGTTGACCGATTTTTTGTCAAATCGCGGTTTCCTCAAAAATCCCGCGCGGATCCCGCGTTGGATCCAATAATTACGAAAATGGAACATATTTCACTTAGGATTGAAAATTACATTTCGCAAACTTACAATACATAAGTTTTAGTAACATATAAATTTCACATGTGTGATATACAGTGCCGCACTATGAAAAATTTAACTGTCGTTATTGAACTTCAATAGAATTTGCATAATGTTTACTAATCAAATCGATGTGAAGCAATCATATTGAATCATATGATAGAATGATCACGTTTCTTAAAACTTACTTTTGATTTCAGAAACTTACACAAACTTATGTAAAATTACTAAAATTACGGTAAGTTTTCCAACCTTAATTTCACTTAATGAGCGATTAGTAAAAATTCGATTAATTTTTCCTAAATTTTGATCGTTGCCGTTGGCCAATCAAAATAGTGAATTTTCACGTATTTTTTGCAAGGTTTAATTGCAGTAATTATCCTTGGTTAAAGCTTTCATCTGGTCCAACGTTTGTAAGATGATTCCAAATATCATTATTACACGCATGACATTTTATTTTTAAAAAGAATGACTTAATCATAAAGAAAATTTTTTGGTACGTAAGCAAAAGATACCAACGGCAAAGAAGATAAATTCTTATCATATATATATATATCATATGTGTGAAATGGTAATTAGGAATTATCTAAATATGTTAATGCAAGCCAGATATTATATTAATGCTAGCCAGATTTTATGGTAATGCCGGCCAGATAATCTTATTTTGGGATATTAAAATCCCGCAGGATCTAAAAAATCCTGCGCGTGCCCATCTCTACATATATGTGACGCATATTATTCGATCAAATTTAAGATACTGAATTAATTAATAGCTCTGAAATTAATTAAATTGTCATAGCCAGTTATCAAATTTCAAACTGAAAAAACAAAAGGCTATTATAACAAAATTGCAGCTTGAACAAAATATCACAAATCTGTTAGCAAAAATTTTTAATCATAAATATTGGATGCTTTTTGTTGTCCGGTACTGTATATGAGTGCTGCCAAGTGAAACCTATCAAGAGGGTTTCAAGTTATTGTTTATCGGACTAGTGAATTGGATTTTCCGATTGCTTATAAATTTATAAACTGACATTCGTGCATATTTGCTTTAGTGTAATAAAAGTTTTATATCCTTTGTCATCTTATCATTTTAATTACGGGATCGACATGCTAGATTTTTTAATTTAAAATATAATACCATATTTTCCATATTTTTGATTACGTGTCCATTTTTTGCCTGCGATATTCAATTACAAATGACAGTCATATGATATTATCACACAATATGAACATATTTATTTATTTATTGTCCAATGTTACGGTAAGGGAGAGCTTTTATCTTCCAACCAGATTTAACTCAGTGCTGCAAGCATTAAATACTAAACCAGTAATTTACTTCAATACACAAAGACAAGAGAAAATATCCCTTCTTAACTAACTAGCACAAGAAAGAATCCCCCTTTTATACCAACTATTATACTCTAATTATTATGCATTAGACTCTAACTATAAAATGATAGTATAGATTCGATCATTATCTAAATATAAGCTAAACTATTATAAAGTTACATAAGAAAAAGTTTAATGTTAAAAATTACATCATTTTTCGTAACACCAACAATGATTTAGAATATTACTTCAAATACATGTTATTTAACGGTCTGAATATACTTTATTTTTATTCAATTTACCAAAATTTATCTAATTTGTCCATGACACAAAGTTAATTGTTCATTTTGCAGATTTTTTATTTTTTTATAATCTACTGTAAACTAATTAAATTATGTTCACATCTAAGACTACGTAAAGTCGATTTTTCGTTTTGCATACAGGAAATACGGATAATTACGAGATTAATGTCGTCATCGGGTGATACCGGATAAAATGACGAAAAAAATAAATGGTAAAAATCGAATAATTGACATAATTGGTAATGTTTAAAATTTGAAAATATAGGTCGGCGGGAAATTCAAAACGAAAAATCAACTTTGCGTGGCCTAACGATAAATTGTGAATTTTTCGAACAAGGTTGAAATCAAATATCAAAACAGATTATCAGAATTTCTATTTTCCCATTAAAATTTATTCGAATATGTTAATTTACTGAGGTGATGAATCATATGAACCATGCATATCATCAGAATTACATGTCCAGGTATCGTCTCTCTCACCAAAATATCCGGTATCAACATTATACCAATTACTTGGGTCCCAATCTCCATTACAACCTGCCACCGTATCAAACCAATACCCATTGTCAATTGCTTGAGAAATCTCAAAAGGTGCCAATTGCTCGCATGTAGTTTGAATCCTATCATGACTTATCACAATATGGGGTTGTTGATCACTAATCTCATTAGAATAAGTTTCTTCACTCTGTGGCTCAGTGACTCCATCAATAGAATCTTGAGTATCTACATCCCATATTACCATTTTATCCATTCCATATGTTAACATAGATGATCTTACGTTTGCATTATCAACTCCATCACCGTACGGAGGGCGAAAATATTTTGGAGTAACTCCAAGAATTTTCTTAAACGCTTCATTTAGGAATTCCATTTGATAATCTACTTCATCAGGACTGACACCTGTCAAATATGGATGTGACCATGTGTGATGGGCGATTAAATGTCCTGAAGAATAAGCACGTTGTAAAATTTCAGCGTAATCATAAATACAATAATCTTCTTCGTTATGGCCATTGACAAAGAATGTAGCTTGTATGCCATAATTATCTAGTGTATCGAGTAAGTCATTTGTCCACTAAAAGAAATTTAAGTAAATAAACGAATTCTGAAATTAGATTTTTTAAAAATATAAAATTTCATACAGAACGTGGTCCATCATCAAAGGTTAACGCTAGAATATTAGGATTTTGGCAAGTATAGATAACTTGTATGCCATCATCAGTAGTGCTATCATTTGAAAGGCCACAAAAACCATATCCACTTTGACATCCTTGATTCGGATCACAAAAGTCTAATAGGAAAGGATGTTATTTAAGAATTTAGAATTTAACTGAGAAAATATAAAATAATTAAGAAACATACCAGGTGTATTACCACAATAACCCCATTGAGAACAGCAATAATTGTCGGGACTAAAAAAAGAAATAAAAAAACGTTAGACCTGAAAGAAAAACAAATCAAATTATATTAAGTCATTATTAATTAAATAAATAAGTCTATACCATCTATTATTCGTATCGGGACCGCATGAGCCGTCATCTGAGATTTGGCCACAGATACCATAATCTGGTTGGCATCCTTGATTCAGATCACAAAAATCTATTTGAAAGAAATTAGTTTAGACTTATAAAAAGAAATTTTAAGCAAAATTAAAAATTAAGAAAAATACCAGCAGTATTGCCACAATAACCCCATTGAGAACAGCAATAATTGTCGGGACTAAAAAAAAGGATAGCGATATTAAGCTTGAAATAAAAATGCTTTTATTGCCAACAAGACTATATTGTACCATATTGTATTCGAATCTGGACCGCAGCTACCATCCAATGAGATGTCTTGTTGACTCGAGGTATTTATAAGATATAAAAATGTTAGGATTAAAATCAAGTAATTAATTTTATACATCTTATGAATGAAAGAAGTAGTTTCTGAGACCAGAAATTGGTTAAATGAATGTATATTTAAGAAATGAAAAAAATACGGATCAAATGGACAAAATTGGATTAAAGGTGCAATATATAATTTCGTGCTTGTTCATATTATTAAACAAAAATCGGAATAGCCGCTTAATTTCTCGTACAAATTACCAGTTGTACAAGTTGTACCAGTTGTACCAATTGTACCAATATCAGTCACACCAAATAAATTATGTTTATATACAAATAAATTATGATCGATCAAATTAAACCTTTCAATGGTAAATAAATATTAATGCAATTAATACAATTCTTTTGTGATCCAAATCTAATTCAAATATTACATTTCGTAGAATTCTGCTAAGCATGAAATTAGCCAATACTAATGGTTCGGTTATGACCGTGACCGAGTCACGAATTCTGATCGACCAAACTGACCGTTTGACCGATATACCAGGAATGGAGTGCTGATCACTAAGCGTATGGCTTATATGGTGCTTTAAGTGGTATCCGTCCACAAAATCTTTAGTTTGACTGGTCCGCGTGACTTATTCATCAAATTTTGGTTATTTTTCACACATGAATTCATCACACATATAGATCAACGGATATGCACGTGCATTCGGATATAGCATAATTTGAATAAAGGCAAAAGTCGAAACTAGTTTCGACTTTCGCCAAAAAAAAATTGAAAATGGCGAAATGGCGAAATGGCGAAACTGTCGAAACTGTCGAAACTGGCTAAACTGGCGAAACTACTAAAAGATGAAAAATAATAAAATTAGTAAAAGATAAGAAAATTAATAAAATAAGTATTAATAGAAAGATTTATTTTTTTATTTATATACGTATAAGATAAAAGGAAGTATTATAATGTATGTCCAATTACAGAG